TTGAACGTAAAACGATTAAGTTGTTCTAAAAATTGTGTTAATTCAGTTAGTTTTACATAAATAATTTGAACAACCTGCCAATAATCATTTTTGAGTGAATCAGCCCTTACAATCCAAATAAAATTCCATTCGGATCAATAAAGACTTAAACGTGAAGGCTTTTTGATTTAATTGAGATGTCAGTCTGTTTACTAACAGCTTATGTGGTTGTATGTAAATGTAGCCAGTGACTAAAGTCTTAATTATCAGCTGTAAAATTATATTTTCTAATAAGCAAGATGCTTGGCATGCATGGGTGTCCTATTTACAACAGCATTTTGAGGAGAGTTCAAGCATTTTTTTTTTCATTAGTCATCATTGCCTAATAATTCATCTGCCCATCAACAGTTTTTCCTTACAAACCGCGGATATGTCACACTTTGTATGATTGTTGCTTCAGTGAAGGTTATAGATGTGCAAACTGCCTTCTTTCCCCCTTTATACACCTCTTCCACTCAGAGTGTCAGTGTCAACGTGTAAATCATACGGAAATAAGTCTGGAAATTGAAAACGAAGCTGAAATGTGTGTGAAACAGCCCCTTCTCCCCCCACGCAGCCCTTTGCTCCAGCTTCCCCTCCCTTCCTGTCCAATTATGTTTAAAACACGCTGGAGAGCGAGAACAGGCGCACCTGACAGATGTTGACCATTTTTAAACCCTGCTCGCTCTCACAAGTTCAAGAGACTCTCTAATTCACTTTGCAGTCGGGACATAACGGAGCGACGCCACTTATTGAGCTTTTGGAACACAGACCCACACAGGAGGATTTTAGTGACGTGGAGATCAGAATCAGGGGAGAGGAAGCCTGCCGTTCACTGAAGCTTATAGTGGCTTTTCTTTTATGTTCTTTATTGGCTTTCTGTTTTATTGTGTTCTTTTTATATCAGTGCAGGTTTTCCATCCTCGTTTGAAATAAATCATTACGAAAAAGTAACAGGGTGTGCATTATTATTATTAAATCAATAAGTACATTAAATAATTGTAATGGTAACCTTTTTCATTCACAACAGGTAACACTTTAATTAATTCATTATCTGTTAAGCATTAACTCTACATTAATAGATGTTAGTAAGCAGTTTATAACTACACTTACAAATGCTGTGTACTTGACTTATAAGCACATGTGTAATGTGCTTAATGATTCTATTTTTATACTTTGTTTATGTTTTTTTTTTCATTAATTATTGCAATATTTACAAACTAGTTAATTAAGAACAGTTGGTGTTTATTTTAGGATCATTCAGAATGTGTAAATAAATAATTAATAAGCTATTCATATTAACATTTATATATTTTATTATTCAGGCATATACTAATATTATTTTGTATGTTAATAGATGCTTTATTAACTCAACTTCATCCAGTTTGACCAGTGTGACCTTACTAAAGTGAGGACTGTTTATGCTTTATAAATCTCTAATAAAAGGCTCAGTTTTATTATAAACAGAAAAAAAGAAAATCAATTACTTCATTCATTTCTATTCATTTGAAGATACACAAATGAAACCATTTCAAATGAAAAATAAATATTTGCAGTCTTATGTCAAATAAAATAACTGTGCAGTTTAAACTTCGCTAAATTGCTTTAAAAATGTTGTCATAAATGTAAGTATTTTACGTATTATGTGCTTTACAAGTTCAGTTTTATGAAAATGTAAGATTTTAAAAAGGAGGTGTGGCACCCAACCCCGCCCCTAAACCCAACCGTCATTGGGTGATGAGCAAATCATACTAAAGAGTACAAATTTTGATTGTAAGAATATGAATTATCCTCTAGATCAATAAGTTATTAATTGCCATGAGATTGTTGGTCATAAAATATTGTTAAATGAATATATTGTTGTTGTTTTATTCAATTTTATCTAATTGTATTTATTTCTAACTGTATTTTAACAATTCTGTTTAGGCATGCGACGATAACTGTCTTCAAAGTTTACCACGGTTTGGAAAAGGTTTTTAAAACCGCCAAATTTTTCTGTTGTACCATTCCTAAGGTATATGTAAGATTTTTAATTTTTTTTTTTTTTTTTTAGGATAACAGTATCTCCAGAAATTATAGTCAAAGATGCCATCTTAAATAGTAAAGAAATCAGTGTTTTTGCAACAAATGAAGACAGCAGAAATCAATGGTTTATTGTTATTTAGCCTGACATGTTTACTGTTACAAAATATTATAAATGTTTCTCAAAGTAAATACTATTGTGTTTAAAGTTTTTAAAAAAACATATTTTAGAGCAGTTATAACAATACCATGAAACCGTGATATTTTTATGTGAGGTTATTATACCATCAGAATCTTATGTAGGCGCATGCCTACTCCTGTTATTCAGCAATGTTTAAAGTTTACAGTCATTTTCTTTTTTTTACAAACATTTATTGCTCATTTGATACAGAGCCTTTAACTGTCATTTATAACAAAGCATAAATAGTCTTCACTTTAGATTAGGTCACAAAACTACATGCAGTTGAGTTAATAAAGCATTTATTAACATACAAAATGAACATTAATATGTGTCTGAATAATAAAATATATAAATGTTGATTTGAATAGTTTATTAATCATTTATTTACTTATTTTGAATGATTATAAAAGCCATCAGATAGTCTGAAACACAAATGGTTTGCAAATAATGCAAATTAGTAATGAACAATTATTAAGTAATAAAGTATCAGACACAATCATTAGTCAAGAATACAACATGTTTAGCTGCATTTATAAACTGCTTTCTAACGTCTATTAATGTAGAGTTAATGCTTAACAGATAATGAATAAACTATTTGCTAATGCTAAAAGATGATAGTGTTGCCTATTAGGACTTTGTATAACAAACAATTTAGTTGAAAGCTGATTAACTCATTAAAATAAGTTAAAGCAACATAAAATGTTTTTTGTCTTTTTGTCATTACTTTTTTTAGCTTATATATGGAAAATGTATATAAAACCTGTCCAGTCTATGTGTTTTTTGTTTTTAAATCTGTAATACTTCAGAATAAGTTTCCATTTGAAAATTTTCTACATTATGTTGAGGTAAAAAATTAAGAAATACAAATTTTGCTATTACAATGTATTAATAAATACATTAGCTGAGCTAATATGAACCAACAATAATTAGCTGTACATTTAAAAATAGTATATACTGTACATAACATTAATTAACAAAAACGTCTTTCTAATTGTTCGTTGTGTTAAAATGAACAGTTGTTCATTTATATTAACAACAACAACAACAATAATAATAACAATAATAATAATAATAATAATAATGTAGCTCTTTGTTAGTTATTTAATGCATTAATAATGATAACTGCAGGTCATTATTGTAATGTGCGTCTGCCACTGTTAAACCAGTTGTGCAATCCATAATTGACTAATGCCAATGGCTTTTCCACTGTTGTTGATGTGCATGATGATTAACACATTAACTCCGCGATATTTGTTTTCCGCCTGAGTTCTCGATTAATGGAGATGTTGTGAGCAAGTCTTGTGTGAAATTCAGCGGTGCGCCAGCAGCTCTCTCAACACACTCTCGCGCACCTTACATGTCCACTTTTAGACAGAACGCAGAATATTTCTCTCTATTTTCCCCAAACTTTCTGGCAGATTTTTGATGTAAATGTGTAAGGAGAATGTTTCACATGTGACAGAGCGCGTCTATGGTCACGTCCAGTAGACGGCGATCACACTCTGTGTAATAATAAAGCTCGAGGTGTCTTCATTTTGCCTTTTCTATTCAATTGCATATTTTGTTGGTTTAAAAAAATTATATTTCTGTCAAAACAATCCGATAGAATGTAGCTCAGTGAATGTCTTAAAAATAGCGGATGATATTATCACTTTGATCTCCACTGATGCTGAATCAAATCGATGATTGTTGAGACCTTTATTTAAAAATGCATTTGAAAGACTTTACCTAGACTTACTCGCGATCTTGTTTTATTTAATGTACCCTTACTGGTGAAAACGCGCTAGTAAATAGCCTACTACAGTGCTGAAAAAAGAATAGCGTGGCAGGTTATAGCAATTACCTGTTTTTGCACACTAACCATTTTCCAGCTGTTCCCCGCTTTGCGCTTGATGACAAAAGGGCTCGCATGGCACACGCACTGGGCGTGAGACACCTGTTACTTAGCAACCGTCACAACAGGAAAACACCTGTGGCATCAAATTATTTAAAGGGACTTTTAAGGATAGTTATAATAGTGTACAAATGTATTGTGGGGAAAAGTTTTTTAAATAAAAAAAAATGTTCTTCACACTGATGGATCTTGGAAAAAAATATTTCGGTGGAACATAAAGTGTTGCTTTTCCCCCCTTTTTGGAAGCTTTATTTTTAAGAGTGTGGGGGACAAATCTATATAAAAAGTACTAAAAGCCTAAAAACGTCTTTCACGCAAACTGTCTGTTTACTGAATTATTATCCAAGGCTTTAAAATAGATTGTGTGTGTGTGTGTGTGTGTGTGTGTGTGTGTGTGTGTGTGTGTGTGTGTGTGTGTGTGTGCGTGTGTGTGTGTGTGTGTCTAGCTAACCGTTGTGTTTATAATCTAGCAAATCTAATAACTGTGGTTTAGTCCTAAAATAAATGATTATATCCTAAAGAAAAATAAGCAGGTTACATGGCAATAAAAATCATAGCTCACATGTTTAGGCTCCGGCAAATGTTCAGCAAACATTAGAGAAAAACGAGCGATTTATTGTTTATTCCAGTGAAAAAGATCATTTACCCCAAATAACATTTGTCAACAGTGGTTTGTGGCCAACTGTTTACCTTCCGCGCGCCGCAGAAAAACCCTTCAGCTGCGCCTGTGGCGAGCGCGCTCTCTCCCGTGCGCGTCACCTGACCGTGAGCCATATGCAAATCAGCCCCGTCCTCAAACGCCATTGGCTCTCTCTCACTCATTTATTCCCTGTCAAAGCGCATCATATGGCCGCTCTCCCACTAACTTTTCTAGCCCACAGCTGAAAGTAGCTCAAAGACAATTCCACACTGGATGTGAAAATCACGCCGAGAGGAAGTTCGAATAAAACAAAGGGAGTCGAGCTGCCGCAAACTTACCATCCATCATCTGTTTGGATTGTACCGATCTCCTGTTCCAGTGGCCTCTTTTGTTATTAGGAGGTTCTGCGCGCGTGTGTGCCTGCCAGGGGAACGGTGTGAATGTTTCTGTGTGTGAGCTGAGCAAGTCAAAGCCAGGTGAATGTATAGCATGATGATGGAGACGGACTTGCACTCTCCAGGAGCCCAGACTAACACAAACACGGGTCACACGGGACCCAACAGCGGCAGCAAAGTTAACCAAGACCGCGTTAAGAGACCCATGAACGCCTTTATGGTGTGGTCTCGGGGTCAGCGCAGAAAAATGGCTCAGGAGAACCCAAAGATGCACAACTCCGAGATCAGCAAGCGCCTCGGGGCGGAGTGGAAACTCATGTCCGAGGCGGAAAAGCGACCCTTCATCGACGAGGCGAAACGGCTGCGCGCCATGCACATGAAGGAGCATCCGGATTACAAGTACCGGCCCCGGAGGAAGACCAAGACGCTGCTCAAAAAGGACAAGTACTCTTTGGCGGGTGGCCTGCTCGCTGGATCAGGGGGCGGAGGTGGCGTGGGGCTGGGAATGGGTGCAGCGGGGGTCGGCCAGAGGTTAGAGAGTCCGGTGGGTCACGGCGGGAGCACCGCGGCGAGCTACGCGCACATGAACGGCTGGACCAACGGCGCGTACTCGGGCCAGGTGGCAGCCGCAGCGGCAGCAGCCGCAATGATGCAGGAGGCTCAGCTCGCGTACGGTCAGCACCCGGGCAGCGGAGCGCATCACCACCACGGGCACCACCACCATCCACACAACCCCCAGCCTATGCACCGCTACGAAATGACAGCTCTCCAGTACAGCCCCCTCTCAAACTCTCAGAGTTACATGAGCGCCTCGCCTTCAGGATATGGGGGGATATCCTACACACAACACCAAAACTCGAGTGTGGCGTCGTCTGGGGCCATCGGCGCGCTGGGCTCGCTGGTCAAATCGGAGCCAAGCGTAAGCCCTCCCGTTAACGCGCACTCTCGAGCCCCCTGTTCCGGAGACTTGCGAGAGATGATAAGCATGTATTTACCGACGGCGGAGGCGGGGGATCCGTCCGTCCAGAGCAGACTTCACGCTGTACCCCAACACTATCAAAGTTCCACGACGAGCGTAAACGGAACCGTTCCACTGACACACATATGAAACAACTACGCATTCAGACTCAAATAACCAAATATTTACCTCTTTTAGAGCATAACTACCTTTTTGTACAGAATGTCTGTTCTTGTAAATTTGAAGGTGATATTATTTAATTATAATACTTAAGGGTGTCCTTGGGATGTTGTCTGATAATTTGTCCGAAATGATACAGTATGAGTGAGCTTTTTTTGCGAGGGATTAATTCTTCTTTTGTGAGTGTGAGAGATTCTGTTAAAACGCGAATAAGAGTGGGTGCTTCAGTGTATAGTCAAATACAATGTTTTTAAAGTTTTCTAAGATTTTTCTCGATCCCACTTTGATTTGTCAACACGTGAGTTGCTGTATTTGATCTATTACTTATTTGTTTGTTGTATTTTTTTCCTTGTACATTGTGAATATAGGCTATTACAGAGAAGAGATTGATAAAACATCTGTAAATATATTTCGGATTTGCCAGGGGATAAAAAGGAAACGTTTTGCGTTGATGTGAGAAGAATAAATTTCACTGGTTTTGCTCTGATTCTGGAAAGTTAGTTGCTGTGTTTATTTTGATTTTTAGCCCGTGGGACCCGCGATTAAGCAGATTAAACTACAGTTTACATTTTAATGTATTAATGTTTAAATGTCTGCACAAACCAAGTATATTAATTAATTTTTTGTTTAAGGAATTATGAAAATAACGTGTTAAAAATTCATAATTATTCAATAGCCTATTTTGAACTCAGAATTACTGTAATTATAAGTGGAAAGATGAACTAGAATTCCCGCAATCTTTAAGATATCAATATAAAATGTAGAAACTAAAACATATCTCTCAGCTCTGCTGAAATTTGTATAATTTGAGATAATAAAAAACGAGTAGCCTAAACATTTTATGTACAGTAGCCTAATATTTGAGTTGTAAAACTATTTGGTATTATAATAATAATAGGTTATTTTTTTATTGTTATTTTAAATGATGCTTTATTTGTTGCTATTACATTTACTCTGGCAAATTAGACGATTGTACAACACATTATAAGAAAATTAACATTTCATTAATCATGTCGAACGATTGCAAAATTTAATGCATAAAAAATGTGTAAATATCTTGATTACTGTTTAACGTTTCTATTGAGTTTTAGACACTTGTAAACTTTCCACTATATGTCTCGCGTGTCTGTCTTAACGAAGCCACTTCAGATCGCTTGATAATTCCTATTTATTTGATGTCACTTTTGTTAAGCGTGATCAGCTGCAAGTGCGACCAAGCTATTTTGCTGTCAGGAAAGCTTCTGTATTTTGTTTTGTTCAAGAAGGCTTCCGTGACGTTGTTGCTGTGTCTTGATGCATATGATGGAGGTCAAAGTTCAAGACCTCTCAAAATAAAGAATGCCCAATGAAAAACGAAGAACAGAAAATAGAGAGCGAACCACATTATTAATTGTTGAACGGACCAACCTCTCTTTTTTTCCGTGAGCCCCGGATTGTGCAGACATATGCTTTAAATCCGATCCACTTCAATTAAATCCGCCTTGGTCCCCGCGAGCCACTCTTGACTGCATTTACCGGATATGGAATAATTGCTTTCCAAAATTCTGAATGGAGTTAAACATGTTACTGTTTGCTGTTTCCACCTTTGATACGCGTTTTTAAGAGAATATTATATTTTTTTCGCCTTCTGGCTTATTTCTTTTTTTTTTTTTTTTTTTTTGTAAAATTGACAACCCAATTTTCTTATAATTGAATTGCTGGTGGGCCGTCAAGCAAATGTTGCTCGTATCCTCCGTGGGGTGTCAGTGGGATTAAGATGAATGCAGAGTGCGTGGCAGAGAGTGTTTTGTGTCAGGCAAAGAGGAGGATTAGACAGCCCAAAAAGCTGAACCCCCGGGTCAGCGACAAGTCACACAATGACACCCACCGGAAGAGTGACGTGATGCGGGAACTTTCCCGCAACAAGTGCAGGATTTATAGAGCTCTTTGAACCTCGGTGATTTTTAAAAACAATTTATCGCTTTAAAACAGCACGACCATGACAAAGTCGGCGAATAGCTTTCACTTTGATTAAATTTTCAGTTTATCAACATAAATAACCACGAAATCCGTTTAATAAAAATGACATGCAGCCTATTTGCTTGTTTTATTGGACACTATGTATACATATTTTCTATAATTCGTTTTCTGTAAAGAATTATTGAAATTATTTCGAGGAAAAAAAACTATTTTTATTGGCTAAATGAAGCTTGTGTGCATGGGACAATAAACAACACTGCTTTTCTTAGCAACGCAGATTTGCATCCACAAACAAAGAGTGAGCCCAGCATGGGCACCAGTCCAGCAGACTGTCAAACCACAGACTATTAACCTTCACTGTTTCCTGGTAAACGAATAAAACTGCATATAAAGAGCTCAGATGCAAAAACCTCTAAGTGACGTTTAAAATTTACATAAAAAATAAATATTTTTCTCGGCCTCATTTGTTTATGTTGAGATGTTTCACTTTAAAGATCATAAAAAGGACTTGTTATTTGCCATAAAAGTAACATTACAGAACCCCCACACAGAAGCCTGATAAAAATGCTCATTTATAAGAATACTCAGACGGCATTTAGAGATTTTTGAATCTGAATTCTTCATATCTCACCTATAAATCTATAATAGTAACGCGGACCTTATTCACAATATGTTCTAAAGAGAAATTGTCGAATTGAGCTTGTGTTTTGTCATATGTAAAGGCGGCGATCCCTTGCTCTTCACTGTCCTAAATGTTCCTAATTAGCATCGGGTTTATCATACCCCTGCATATTTTCTTGCCTCCTTAGAAAAAAAGCTGTTTGCCGTTCTGCTACGGAAGATTACGGAGACAGATTGCAGAGGACGAATGTGCGGCGCCAGATTAGCGGGGAATAGAAACAGCAACTGGGCCAATAAATTCCTTGCGCGGGCCTTATCGTGCAATTACACGTTGACATGTTTAACAATCTCGCGGTCTTTTTTCCTAATCCATAAACCCTCCAAGAGGCACGAGACGGTACAGCCGTTTCAGACGTGGGTAAATGTTTACAGAATAAAACTTAAAACCTGTGCTAACATGTTCCACACAGTATTATATTGAACGATTTTTTTTCAATTATAGTTATTTTACATTTAGGTAGCTAAATGGCCAGGAAAAAAATATTTTTTTCCTCTAGTTTGACACTGCATCTTCGTTTTTGTCTAACAATAGGATGTTAAGGTTGCAAATCCCACTTTTTCAGATTATTGCAAACATATGTCTTTCTAAAAGACATTGTGCAATAATTCACTCTTTATAAATGTATTTTTTTCGTGCTGCCATAGAAAAACCAATAGGGGTTCTCATAGAAACTTTTTAGTGAACAGAAAAATATAGTAAAAAGGAACAATATTTGTAAAGAACATTGTAAAATCTAAAAAGCCATCAATATCAGAAGAGAGAGAGAGAGAGAGGTACTACAAAAACAACATTTTACCTGCCATTTACCAGTCTTCAAGACATATTTGTGTCTGCAATTCAAACTGCCGAAACAGAACTAAACCTGACATGAATGATGAAAGATCCTGATAGAAAGATGAAGATATTAACACACTCTCTGTCTAACAAATGCCCTTTGTAATCTGATATGGTGTCTCAAATTCATATAGACCTATATTTATATCACACGTTACACAAAGTTGGTCCGCATAAAGTAATTTTAATATTGACCTGTAAACGCACAAATAATACAGTTGAACACTTTTTTAATCGTAGTAGCCTTTGTAAATAGGCCGAAATTGTATAAATAACAGTAAATATTGGCCTTGCAAGTTTTTTTTTTTTTTTGTTTTTTTTTTTTTTGGAAAATGTCTAATTTATTTGTGTCGATTTGTTTCAGACAAATTGAAAGTAATGAGAAGGATCCCTTTAAATACTTAAAAAGATATACTTTAAAGGTTTAAAGGGTTTGTTCGCCTCAAATAAAAATGTAGCCTACTGACCCTTTACTTACTCCCAAGTTTCTTTTTTACCTGTTGAACATTTATTTTTTTATCAAAATTTTTTTCAAAGAAAGTTAAAAAACCTGCAACAACTGACTTCCATAAGAAAAAAGCAAATAGGCTACCACGGAAGTCAGTGGTTACATGTTTCCAGATTTCTTCAATATATCTTTGGTATTCAACAGAAGGAAGAAAGTCAAACAACTTTGAAACAAAGGTGAGTAAATGACAGAATTTTCACTTTTGTGTGTAATATAAGGTTTTACGTTAGGCAAAGATGCTCACATGAAATAGACATAGAGATTAAATATGCTAAACTTCTGCTCATCGAAATCCCATCCATTGGTAGTTAGTTAGCGAGTTATCTCTTTCTCACCGTCTCTTTCCCCGCACACACACTCTCTCACTTTCCCCTGTTAGCAGTGTCCGCCTGTGCGGGGCCTGCGGCGCAGTGATTGTGAGACACTCTGCTGGAATTTGGCAGCGTGGCGGCTTTGGATCGGCGCCCCACGCTGACTGTCATTCAGCGGGCCTGCGCGACTCACTGTGCCGTTGGGAAGTGTCGCTCATCCGTGCACTCATTGGCCTTACAAAGCTGATTACAAGCATCAGCGAATTCCTGAAGGCAATGAGAGGCGATGCAGGTGCACGAGAGGGTAAGTTCCTGGTCGGAACATGTGCGGATGTGGCGGAAAGTTGTGAACACCCTAAACTGACTCACTCGCCCAATCACAATCTGAGCTGAGTCGCTGAATTTACTACTTTATACAGACTGGAAATAGAAACTTCTTTTTTTTTTTTTGTAAAATATTTATCACCAGAAATGGGTTTAAACTATTGTTTGTCTAACGTATAGAATATTGGAGATTTATCAGTTCTTGTAGCACATTTACTTTGGTTCACTTTGGTATTTAGTTCAACATCGATTGAAATTTAGTAGCCAACTTGATTGCACTAATTAAAATTCGCTGAAAAATATTTTTAGATTTTTAAAAGTTGTTTTCTTTTAGACTATAAAGTCTCATTAAAAGCAAACTGCGTGCGTGATGCATTGTGGCATACCTAAAGTCCGGAAACCATTTTGATATCGTGATAGAACAAATAACATTCAAACAAAAACGAAATTATAGGACAAACACACCTCTGTATATTTTTAAGACTGTGTGAATGTCACATATTTGGACTTTTAATGAAAACGGCTACACTTTGACAACTTTTGGATATTGATGTCTCAAAGGTATACTTTGAATTAGTTTGCAAATATTAATTTTTCTTTGAACTTGTGACTTCTTTTATATAGCCTAACCATAATTTTAAAATATTGATCTTTTTATTACCTAACAAAAGAGCCGAAATGACACCTACATTTCAAGAGCTGACAGCAGTCTTATTAGCTACAACCATCCTTAAAAATACTTTTGTTCACAATTATGTTGGGGTTAAATACAGACTGATTTCAAAACGTCTCAGAATTACATAAGTGTCCATTCAACCCAAAAGAGGAGCTCCTCAGCGATCACTATCACTGGAATCTCTCGACGGCT